CAACCCCCACCGTTCAATCCTTTTCCTCAAATTCTAACGTCCCAACAACTTGGATATTATTTGTACCTGATTTTGTCCTAATCGCTTTGATTGTGCAGATGATCTTAATGGTAGGGACAAAGCTGCAAGTTATAATAACAAAGATGGGGCTCAAATTATCAGAAAGAGGTGAAGTGGTTAGGGGAACCCCACTGGTTGAGCCTGGTGACCATCTCTTCTGGTTCAACAACCCCCGACTCCTGCTTTATATCATCCACTTTGTTCTCTTTCAGGTAATTCACTTTCTTTCCAATTGGATTTAGTGATTTATACACTTTCGTTTTAAGCCTCTGCTTCTTCCGCGAGTTGAAGTAAATTGTAAAATATACAATTTGGCTCGTAAAGGCAAAAAGAAAGTGCAAAAGTCACTACTGTACATGCATTTGTTGCGTTCTTTATCTTGTAAATTTTGCTAACACTCGTATGTTATAACGCATCTTGTCCTCGTATGTAGAATGCTTTTGCACTTGCTTTCTTTGCATGGACTTGGGTAAGTAAAACTGTAAACCCATATTTACTTTCACGAGCCACAGTCAGGAAAAGGTGGCTTACATTTTACCCTTTTACAGTATGAATTTGGCTTGAAGTCTTGCTTCCATGAGAAGTTGGAAGATGTCGTTTTAAGAATATCAATGGGGTAAGCTCAAATTATTTTTACATTTTTTTTGTTCACTCAAATCTTGCAGATAAACTTATTTACTGTGAGAATTTAACTTAACAAATCCATTCATTGGTTATTTACTGCAGGGTGATCATACAAATTCTGTGCAGCTATGTAACTCTTCCTCTTTATGCATTGGTAACACAGGTAATTAAGTGGCCATGATGCAAAATTAGATGCTAAAAAAACTAAGAAATATTAAGTTCTAATTAACTGTACATTTCTGTGTACAAACAGATGGGTTCAACTATGAAGCCTGTAATCTTCAACGACAGAGTGGCGACTGCACTCAAAAAATGGCACATCGCAGCGAAGAAGCACGTAAAACACAAGAATGCAAGTCCAGCCAGTGCACCAGGCACTCCTTTGCACTCCATGTCCCCTGTTCATCTACTACGCAACTATAAATATGAACAAGACATTGACAGCATTCAGACATCACCAAGAATGCCTTATTTTGATAACGAAGGTTCAGACTCACCGTTTCATCACCAAGACAATTTGACTTGGTCTCAGCAAGGTACAAACATGGAGGGTCAGAAGGAGGAGATTAGTGCTCATGGACCTAACGCAGAGAGCAATGCTTTAGGCGCTTATGGTTCGATAATTCAACATGAGATTCAAATTCACTCGGCGGCACTCACATTTGAGAAAACAGAAAGAAGCTGAGAGATTAGGAAGTAAATGGCATACAACTTGCAACATTACAATCAAACCTAAAGCCTGATCTCATAAGCTTCCCAATGTCACTGTACATGAAGACACTCGGTGCTAGACATCATGAGTTGTACAACTGTAACGTAAATTTTGATATTCATGCAAATAAACCTTCACCTTGATCACGTTGAGGCAGTGTAGATATCTCCATATGTAATCACTTTCCCGGCAACACATTGATGTGTTAATATACACACTGTGAGGAACACGTATGAATGCATGCCTCCAAATGGCGAGCATGGTAATCTATGTTTCGTTCAACACCTGAAATGGGCAAATCATTAAATCATTTGACAGAAGAAAACTGCTGACCTTACATTGCAAACCAATGTCACAACCGTGCTCCCTAATGCCTGCTACGCCAACAGATGGATCACTGTTCCGTCAAATCTTTGCATGTATTAACAGGCGAAGTCATATGTTACTATTAACTGGTTTACTTGAAGATAAGAAGATCAACAACGGTCATGAGAAAATTCACCCACAACCAAAAATTCTTGTGAGCAGAAGAACAGACTATTTTCTGACACGAGGCAAATTTGGTCCATGTTTCTCCACTTCAGGATTCTCAGAGTAGAACACCTGCACACTATATTGACAGAGGGCAGAAAACAAACATGAAGAAAAGCTCACTTTAAGAACTACAACCTGAATAGAAACCAAAAGCTTACACAGAGAGAAATTTTACAGAGGTGAAACTTTAAGCAAGAACTGTTATTAATGGAATTCATGAATCCTGAACTGAATGTTTCAATTACCCTCCATCGTTTAGCAAAACAAGTGGGTGCCTGTTGCACTTGCACATATCATAACTCCTAAACTTAATACAATAACAAAAGATAACATTGTAAACAATGGGAGAGCAAACTGTCAGAACGAGCCTAACACTAACCACAGATGCATCATCAATTCACAACATTTTCCCAGCATCAGAAATCAGCAGATCACCACAGGATAGAATGTATTGTCTAAAGAGCAAAATGCATCCATTCAACAACTAAGAGGAAGAAAATCCTCACCACCACCACACCATCGAAAAATTTCAGATTTCACTTAGCGGAATTCACATTTGAGAAATCAGAAAGGAGTTGAGACAGTAGAAAGTAAATGGCACGCGCCTTGCACCAATACAGTGAAAACTAAAGCTTGATAAGCTTTCCAACAGGGTCACTGTACATGAAGACGGTCGATGTTACTGAGCTAGATATCATCAGTTGTGCATTGTAACATAAATTTTGATATTCATGAGAATAAACCTTAACCTTTAAGCTGCTGTATATCTGGTTAATCAATTTCCAGGTTACAAGAAGTCAATCTTCTGATAATTCATGCACAAGCAAAAAACATGTTTCAATTTTCACATGCCTCCAGGGGCAAATATTGTAATCTTATGCACTGAACAAAGTAACTAAAGAAAAAAAAAAACAATGCATCAAGTAACAAGAAGTCACCACCAAGTTAGAATGACCCAATTTCAAATCGGGAAATTATTTTCTGCTGGGGCCAGCCCCAAACCACAAATCTCATTTAACCCTGGGCAACCATATGAATACATCAGGAAAGACAGCAACCTTGTTAATCTATGTTTCAAGCATCATTAAGAACATTCAATTTTGATAATAAAGGGGAAGCAGGCCCTTTCAATTTCATTATGTGATATCATTAAAGTGTTAAATTCATTGGTTCAACCCAATCAATTGTGCTTAAGCTACTAAAATGATGTTAAGTGGAAAACGTTTAGATATAGCAAGAGGAAAGTTTGCTCAACATACTCCTGCATTATCTAATGTTTTCATGTTCAGCATGAATTGGCATGCATTCATCGCTTCTCAATGGAACAAAGTTCCAAGAATCTGAAAGAACTAATAGAAATTCAAGTTACAACAGGGCTTCTTGAGATGCACCTATCCTAAACCAAAATATAAACATAATGATCCACCAACCATAATCATGTAAAAACCAAACACCTTGTAGGGAAAACCATGTAAAGATTGCTTCCTAACACCTGCCGTGCAAACAGATGCATAACTGTTTCACCAATGTTAGTGAGAGAAGCCAACTGTTTCTATGGTTTTCTTCATCATAAGAAGATCAACAATGTTCAAGAGCAATTCACACGCTACCAGTACAGTAACCTCGTGACCAGAAGAGTAATAGGCTCTAATTGTCTGCTATAAGACAGACTAGGATGCATACTTCACCAGTTCAGAGTTCTCCAAGTAGAAAACTTCCAGACCACGCTGAAAGACGGCGGAAATCAAAGAGAGAAAAACTTGCATTTAAACAACACAATGGTATAAACCAGGAAACACACATAGAGAGAGATCCTACGACCCTTCTGACTGAAGTAATCTTTATCTTAAGAACAAAACTATATAGCCTCTTAGCTACTTCACAGTTCAAGATTCCTAAAGTAAAGATATGCATAGCAGAATGTAATAAAAAATATTAAGGTGGGAGCAAAGACACTCACAATTCAAAAACCATGGAAGTATCAGATTAGTCAGTTCAAACCAGTGAAAGGTATCACTTGACTTAGAGGCATGTTAGCTCAAAGCATTACTACTTAATTCTGTAATTTTTGCATATTCAAGATAAATTGGTATGCATTATAAGCTTCTAATTGGAACAGTATCTGAAAGAAAAAATAGAAATCGAAGTAACAAAACTAACAAACTAGTATTCCGCCTTCTGGGATGGTTAGGCAGAAACTAAGAATACATAACTCAACAATTGTTACTACTTCAACATCACTCTAGATCTTGTTCCTTGACGTATACGACAATAAACTAAACTTAGCAAATAGAGAATAACTAGAAACACACAAGATTTGTACTAGTTCGGCATATCTTTTGCCTACATCCAGTTGTGATTTCTCTTGGTCGAGAAATCACAGCTTCTTTAACGGTATTTTATAAAACCCTTGAGCTATTCTCTCTTTTCTCTCTAGGCTGTCTCTCTGTTTTCTGCTTGCTTTTCAGCTCCTTGCTCTCTGCTTTTACAATTCCTAATCTAATTGTACAGGAAAACTTATTCTTTCCTAATCATTGTAGGACAAGAATATGTGCAACCTTTAGTTTTCCTAATACAATCCTAAACAAAATAAGACTAACAAATGACGAGCCATATCCTAACAACAATAACCCCAGATTGATGAACCCAAAATAAAATTTCAGCACAGAATAAGGAATGTTCTGCATATTCGAAAGCTTAGCATAGAAACCAAGGGGCCAGCGCAACATCAATAGACAGCATAGTACTATCAAACAACCAGCCAAATGTATGCATTGATATTTTACTCCATACCTAGTTTGAATTCTCTAAACCTAGTTTGAATATTTTAGATACTATCCATCCCTTGTTGCTGCTTCTTAAGCCACAACAGATGCACACTCATTCATTATTGGTATAATAATCCCTTTTCTTAAAAACATTTTCTTTCAGGTAAGAATGAGCAATTCACACACATCGAATAACATTATTGGTATAATTGAATTATATTACAACACCATCCTAAGAAGTTGAATGAAGGCATTACCAAACAGAATACCAAATATGCATCCGCAGCTACAACAACAACAAAATTTCAAAGAAAGGGAAACCGATGGTGTTTATAAAACTAGAAATTATTTATTGATACCAAATTGAGTTTTGATGATTAAAAGTAAAGATAGAACAACCCATTCACCATCCCAAAGAACAAAACACGGTGGCAGACTGGCCACTCAACACAATTACACCACCATCAGAACCAACATATCAAAACAAAACAAACCGAAACTAACTAACAAACTTTCTAGAAATCACCGCCACGGAGACGAAGAACGAGATGGAGGGTAGACTCTTTCTGAATGTTGTAATCCGCAAGGGTACGACCATCCTCTAGCTGTTTCCCAGCGAAGATCAACCTCTGCTGGTCAGGTGGGATCCCCTCCTTGTCCTGAATCTTAGCTTTGACATTGTCAATAGTGTCAGAGCTCTCAACCTCGAGAGTGATCGTCTTCCCTGTCAGTGTCTTCACAAAAATCTGCATACCACCCCTCAATCGAAGAACCAAGTGCAAAGTTGACTCCTTTTGGATGTTGTAATCCGCGAGAGTCCTGCCATCCTCCAATTGCTTACCAGCAAAAATTAATCTCTGCTGGTCTGGGGGGATTCCCTCCTTATCTTGGATCTTTGCCTTGACGTTATCGATCGTATCAGAACTTTCGACCTCCAGAGTAATTGTCTTCCCGGTCAGGGTTTTGACAAAGATCTGCATACCACCTCTCAATCGAAGAACCAAGTGCAAAGTCGACTCCTTCTGGATGTTGTAGTCGGCTAGGGTGCGACCGTCCTCCAATTGCTTGCCGGCGAAGATAAGCCTCTGCTGATCCGGAGGAATCCCCTCCTTATCTTGGATCTTGGCCTTGACATTGTCGATCGTATCGGAGCTCTCGACCTCCAAAGTTATCGTCTTCCCGGTTAGGGTTTTGACGAAGATCTGCATACCTCCCCGGAGACGGAGGACCAGATGGAGAGTCGATTCCTTCTGGATATTGTAATCGGCAAGGGTCCGGCCATCCTCGAGCTGCTTTCCGGCGAAGATAAGCCGCTGCTGATCGGGAGGGATGCCCTCCTTGTCCTGGATTTTAGCCTTGACGTTATCGATCGTGTCGGAACTCTCGACCTCGAGAGTGATGGTCTTACCGGTTAGGGTTTTCACGAAGATCTGCATGATTTCAGAAAACGGGAGATGAAATTCGAAAGCGGTTTGAAATTAGGGATTTGAAAAATTGAGGAGATTTAGGATCAATGAGAGATTGTTGAACGAATTGTGACTTGTGGGGAAGAGAGGAGGGGGAGAGGGGTTTATATAGGGAAAGAGAAGCCGAGGGTTGTTGTGCGGCCAACAAGAGTCGGTGAAACGAAATGTCTGGAAGCTTCCAGCTGGCCCACTTTTCTGGTGAGGAGAAATGTCTAGGATTTTCTGAAAATTTTCAATTCTGCGGTGTTCTAACACTGGGAGATTTTAAAAGTGCAACCAATAAAATTTAGGGAATTTTAACGAAAAGTATTTGGTATTGTTTATTTTAATGAAAAATTATATTTTTATACTAAAAAATCAATTCTGGTACTATTCACTTTACCCTTTATTTTGTTTTTATCATTAAAACTCAAAGTTTTCAAGCATTTTTCATTAGTTTTCCTTAAAATTTAACGGTTACTTTCTCTTGGATTCGTCAGATTATGTTATATTGTGATACTTTAATGATTACAAATTAAACAGTTAAGCCACTTAGATCTCGTTTCGCAGTCCGTATAAAGAATCGGATAAGATAAGTAACACAAACTTAGATGTTTGATGCAACTACGTACTAAATAGTACCCGTATTACTTAAATTGGGCCCACATGTTTTATACAGTGTATGGCTGCTTATTTATCCTTCCATTTGTAAGTTAGAAAGCTTAGGTCAAATTCTTACTAAAGACGAATTTGAATCATATAATTACTAGTCTATTTTGAGGCTTAGCCCATTCTTTCACCCTCTTAGCGTGAAAATATCGTTTTTCAAAAAAAATTAAAGGTATCCAATCATGTTATTAATGTCAAGTTTACTTATCGGAGAATTAATACAAGTGTAAAGAAAATTATTTCAATAATATTGCTATTGGGAGTAAAAAATTATCATCTTAAACCTTCACATTAGTGCAAAAAAAAAAAAGAGTGATTAATATATTGAACTCATGAATGTGATGTCAACATATTGAACTCACACTAGTGTAATACGTATTAAACTCGAGTTTCTTGATTGCTAAATACATGTATCACTCACTTAAACTTTTGTGGATGGCCTTACTCTTATACAATTTTTGTTTTCATAAATTTGAAACACAAAATGACACTTTAAGAGCCTCGGTAACAACTTTTATAATCATTACCATAACATACAAATAAAAGACTTATTTACGACAATGCTTCTAAAATTCAATATTGATCTCATTTAATCTCATAAAACTCAATTTTTTTCACTTAGCCTACTAAAACTCAACAATATGTCTGCCCCCTTCCAATTTTGTTAAATAATCCGCCATGATGTGAGAAAGAGAGAAAAAAAAATGAAATTGTTGCAGTCCTATTTAGAATAGGAATGTGATTGTGTAAATCCTAGGAAATATGAGAATGTGTCTTATATTCCTATTAGGATTAGATTACCTATTAAATGTTGTAATTCTAAAGGGAAAGGTTTTACCCTTCCTACTACTATAAATAAAGGCACAATGGGGTGAGATAACACACACCCACAATTACACATCTCTCTATTCTTCTCTCTATTGCCACACCCCCTCTCTCTAAGACCTCCATACTTGTTCAGTAAATTATGCCTACAACACGTTATCAGCACGTTCTTAACGCTACGCTAACAAGAGAGTTTGATCTTCAATTTGGGGAGTATTACGTTTTAATCATTCTTTTCATGATTAATTTATTATTTTACTAAATTGATCTACATGCTATTGATTCAATTTAATTTTTCTGTATTGAACGTAATACAACGCATGGGAGAATTCCGGCTTTCAAGAAGGATCTTTTACAAATTCAAAGGCTTTTGTTGTTTTCTGCTACTCAGGTACGCTTAAAATAAAGGAAGATATTTGAAACGACCCATGAAGCATGAAAACATTCCCCATGATGCATGAACCCCCTACATTTATATTTACCTTCCGATATATATATTGTATATGTTCATATATTGGTCAATATATATATTTGTTTCATACATTACGCAATAATTGCTAGGTGGAATTTGTGAGTCAAAGTATTCAATTAAATTAGAAGCATGTTTCGAGTTTTCCTAAATCCTAAAGGATTTGAAAAAAAAAAAAGGGAATCAGGACATGGTGCGGCACACCACCGCACCATCATTGTGCAAATAATCACCAGGCCTAGGCCTGGATTTTACCTCGGTAGGGCCTGCAGCCCTGAGCCTATGCACACTGGCCTTGGCCCGCAGCCATCCAACCTGCCCAATTGTCTAGGCTGTTCTCCCATACACACGCTGCAACCTTTTTGGTTGCTGGGTTTTGTTGCTCTGGCCCGCATACATATAGTCAGCATATGCTGGGCTTGTCATTGCGCCACCCATACCCAAGCTCGTGACCTGCAGTCACTATGGGGCTGCTTTCACGCAACCAGCCTTCGCTGGGATCCCCGTGACAACCCACAGGCCAGCTTGCGCTAGACCTGTCCGTGCACTCCCTTGTGGCCCAAAACAAGACCTAGTTGCGGCTAGGGTCTCCCATTCTTCACCCGTGGCCTGCAACCACCACCAAAGGAACATTTGGGCCTCACCTTATGCTTAAGGCACCCAACCCGTGCCTCTTAACCCCCAGCATTAAGCCCAATTATTTTTGGGGTTCTATTTTTGATCCAATAATATTATTTTAATATTATTTGCTTCTACGATCGACCCTGAATGGTCCCGATCTATTGAATTAATTAAAAGTGACTTGCAGTCCATTAATCTGATAATGAATCCAAAATTATTGACCTAAAGATCACTTTTGGACATTAACGATTCAATAATTTATTTCTCTTCTTTGAACCGTCACATACTTTCGTAGTAACGAAGCTATTACACTTGAGTTCCCGAAGACAACTCAAATCCACTGCACTAAGTTAGTATATTGCATTCTGAGTTTCTTGCAGGAACCTCTCCTTTATGAACTAAACGTTCATAAACTAAATTGAACCTGTAGTTTCAAATTTAGTGCCTTTGAAACCCGAAGATTTCATAAAACAATACACCCATGAAAACCCGACGTTTTTCATGAAAACCATGTCTTAGAACTCGAATGTTCTAACTTTGATGCTTATGGATAATTCATTCCCATAGCACCAATCACAATCTTGTTCCCTCAAATTCAGTAGATTGTCAAACCGTCACAAGTTTGATTTTCCTGATTTGGACGTTTTCTAATAGAAACCACTTTAGGTGGGGTACAAGACGTGAATCTCCACTTGACTATCAAGAAGCTGAGAAACCATTGATGCTAACAATGGCAAGGAAGAGCTGAATAAGCCTCCGCCATAATCTTCATTCGAAGACTTATGCTCAAAGCATTACAAATGGAAATACTTCCCGAACGAGGATTCCATGGCTCTTTGGCTCGCTTCTATAGACCGTCTAATCATGAAAGAAATTGCCCGCAACAAACCATGATTACGTCCATGAATGAGTACAATTCTGAATTTTATAAATCCGATCGAATCTTGACTGGAGAATACTTTTCTCGTCATTCCATGTTTTTAACTCGCTCCTGAAGTAGCAATGTAGAAAGTGGAAATTTACCAAATTCTCGGATCTGATTACTACCACAAACGTGAAAGAAAGGTATGGACCCAGTTCGGCTGGAGTCTACCGAATGGCTCGACCCAGTTCGGTCAAAACCTAACCAAATGGTGATACACTGCTTTCGTAGGGATACACTGAATGGCATACTCTTTCACAATACAATTTCGAGTTTGTGTTCACAAACATATAGTATAATCAGAACCTGCCAAGGTGTGACATCATGCCCGAAGCATGATCCTTGGTACATAAGACCTAAAACTTCAAGAATAAAGGATAATATTCTCGAACCTCAACCTTGCAAGAATCTACTCCCGTCTTAATGGAATAGATCATTGGTTATGCACCTGTTCGTGCCCCTACCAATGTTGTTGAGGAGTACCATTCTAGTAGTCAATATGTGAGATTGATTTTGCTCCACCGAACATCGTTGGCAGAGCAAAATTTCGACATGGATGGCCTTATTGGTCAAATCCCCTTAGTAAATTTACTTTGTGAACATTTTTCCATGTTCTTGGATTCAAGTTTGGTGTATGTTTTACTTATGGATAATCTTATTGATATTGTCCTCGAATATGAGTTAATTGAATCATGTTTCTTAATACATGTGACCGATTCAATTAAACACGTGATTAGGTAGGAATGTGGGAAAGTTAGTTGTCTGGATGAATGCGTACTTGTTGGCCCTAGAAACTACTAAGCCTACGTGGCGCACAGGCCGAGTAATTCTATAAGTTAACTACGTCCTTCGGTGAATGCGGGGCGTGCCAACTCGTCGACCGAGCTTAGCCGAGGAGTAAAATTTGTTGATGTTGCGTTGGGTGCGCGGTTGACTTCTACGTCTTGCGATTGCGGCCGAGAAAGGAACACGTCTCGGCCTCTTGGGCTCTCGAACCTGAAGACAAGGTTACTATTCTTACGAAGTTCACGAGTCGTCGTCGTCGGATTCAGTCACAGTGATGTTATTCGTCAGAGTAAACTCACGCCGAATCGACACCAGAGTGTAAGGGCACAAATATTCAAAGCAAATATAAGTTTTAATGGTGAACGTGGTTCGGCCGTCCGAATGCTGAACTCTAAATCCCACTTGGGAATATCCAATCATAAAATAACTCGGCGAGCAAAGCGCCGAGCTCGATATGCCGTAACACCTCACTTCGCCGAGAAGGCTAATGAGATGACCTCAATCAATAAGGATCCGAAAATCCTTCTTGACCGAGACTTGGATAGGTAATCAACCGTTCTCACCGCAGTGCTGTTGATGCCAACGGAAGATACTGCGAGATCAACTGATTCTACGGTGACAGAGCTATCTATGCCGACTTAAGATATCACCGGTTGCTTCCACAGTGCTGTTGATGCCAACGGAAGATGTGTTAGCGAAAAAGAAAGAAAAAATCTCAAGTTGTTGAGAGTTTGCGCATGGCAGTTTTGTATTGATTTGCATGAGGCTTGAATGATGTGCAGCCTCTTTTATTTATAGCAACGGCTCCCCCCAAGGTCGAGT